TTTTTCTATAACGCTTAATAAAGGAGTTATTATTGAGTAAAGTCTGGCCAATCAGTGCCGATCTTTAGCCGCGCGCCTGGTAGTATGCATGAGCGCTCCGTCGCTATGGCGGCGCACATTACCAGGCGGGCGGCTCACCGATGTGCGTCCGGCTAAAAGTCGGCGCTGATTGGCCAGACTTTCTCGATAATGGTTTAGTCTACACCGATATACTTTAATACGTACTAAGTACTATATTGGCCAATCATAGTTATTCCCTTAAAGAATGGAACGGCTGTGATTGGATAGTATAGTATTTAGTACGTATTAAAATATATCGATGTAAACTAGGACAATAACTCTTTTGTATTAAGCGTTATAGAAAAAAATGGTACAGGACTTTTCTGTGCAGTTTACTGTGCTCTACCCACTCACGAGCGTTGGCACAATTTTTACCAGACACCCGTATATGTGCGGACTTTTCTTTCCCAGGAGAATCCCGATTCAAAATGAATCAAAAGATATGCTTCCTTAATTAATTCATTTATTTCGGGAATAGCTTGTACAATATATCAGATGTATTATCAAAATTTTAATATAAAAAAATTTGTGTCGAGATTGTTACTTCTCTTTCTCTCTCTGTATATATGTGTGTTTGTGTGTTTGTATGGTGTGCGCGCGTGTGCATATGCGTAGAATATAAAATTAGCTTTATAGAATTTGATTTTCAAGTCAAATGATTGGCTAGTTGATATGCATACTCTGATGAGTGATACGATACATTATGTGCACATTCTATAACAATAATGCTTAAACAGAGAAAAACAAAGATATTGCGATACAAATATACAACAAAAGTAATCAGTTTTTCAAATTAAATACTTTTTTCGTAAGTAATATCGCTTTGACAAATTTAACCATTATAAATTATTCTTTTCATTTTTCTCGCCATCTATTCAAATTTAAATATATAATATAATAATTTACTGCTCCTACTTTATATATTCATTTAGCATATTCAAGAAAGGATTCAGCTATATGCACAAATATTGATTTGATCTAGAAATAATATTAAAACATACGCGCTTGCGCTCGTGCGTGTTTTTGATATTAGTAATTAAATTAATACAAATATATATATTAATTGACATGTTAGAAAGAGTTTATATGATTTAATAGACTTTATTAACTTAATAAGGTAATAACATTATATATAATGATTTGATTATTATATAAAGCAATAATACAATATCTTTTTCATGTTTTATAATTTCTCATATGTTTGCTGTAAGACTGAGAAATGTAAGCATGTTTATTCTTTGTTACATATCAATATTTGTCGGAATGGTTAGTCGTTTTCTCTTTTTTTAAATCTGCCTGCTGAGCAAGTCCAAAATGGACATTAATATTATAAGTGCGTATGTATTCGTCGCAAATCGATTTCTCTCTACATTTCAAATTTAGATGGAAACTTAATTACAGAAAAATGATATCAAAGGTGCCGTTATATATAAAACTCATCTCCTATCAGTTCTTTAGGTACACAAAGATACAAATGTATAAATAAAGGTTTACTTATCGCAGTTAGAATTTACTGAAATATATAGTTCTCTCTATAAAGTACAATTATTCGATATAATTTAACTTTTCCTCTAAAAGAAAGCTCTCTACATTTGTTGAAGAATACATTTATATGCTTTTGAATCTCCCTTTTCCCAATCCACTCCATATATACAGATATACTATATATACTATATATACTAT